TACCTAAATATTCCATACAATTTTGTTGAATCGGCTTAGCTCATATTTGAAAAATCAAACAAAATCTGAAAAACACACTTGTGTAATTACACTAATTAAACACCGACATCTACAGTAAAATCATAGTAATTTTGACATTATGATAATCAATTTTTTTGTTCGTATGCTTAGAATAACGGTCTGTGTCTTATAAAATTTATAAAAGTTCGAATCAAAATATTTACGTTTTTTGACCCCTTGTGATGAAATACATTTTTCGACCCGAAAGCCGGAAGTTTTTTCGGCAAATGGTATTTTAAAAGAATCAAGACATATACACCTTCATAAATATTGCTTCAAATGTTGCTGCGCTAATAGTGTGCTACGGATCCTTCATATTCGGAAGTCATACCAGGGACTATTACCTTAGCAATGCTATCGTGAAAGCCTGGTGTGACCGTCGCCTTTATGTGACATTTATGGCTTACTAAGTGAAGACTTTTTAGCCTGTTGTCAATATTATTATATTTTTATGGGTAAATTGTAATGCCTACTCTAACAGTGACAACGTTGAAATATATTACAATACCTGGCATATACCTGCTATATGATATGCTATATTTTTTGTCAATCCCTGGTTTTTGTGACAATGTTAAAATATATCATAAAAATGCCTGCTACAGTATGTGCAATGTGGATTGTGAAATGACCATTCTTTGAAGGTGTTGCAACATAGTCTCATAATTTACACATGTTGTATTGTACTCTCATCCTCTGATGTGTGTGGCCTCTTGACAATTTTCACATATTTTAACATGGGAAATCCTCAATTAATCAAATCCACTACTCATTTATTAATCACTCAGACTAGAAAAAAAATCAGTCAAGTTGGCAAAGTATCAATATTATCAAATGCATTCAATTCTTATTTTTGATAAATTAAGATATCACACGTGAGTATACACTGCTTCTGTTCATTATGATTCAATAGTCTATGAGGCAGGCCCGTAAGACACTTTTCTCCAAGGGGGTGCGGTTTTTACTAAAGAGAATATAAAATTGTCAATTTTTTTGCCGCGTAAACCAAATCGCGTAAGTCAGAGGGGGGGGGGTCACTCCCCTAGAAGATTTTACAGTTTTGAGATGCTATTTGGTGCATTCTGGGCACTTTCAAAGTGTATGAGTCAATAAGAAAAATGTGATTTTTTTCAAATTCTTTTGGGGGTGTCAAAAAGGATGAGAGGGTGAAGTGGGGTGGGGTGCCAGAGGGGGAGCAAGGGGTCGTCCCCCAGAAACATTGACCATATCAAGGGGCAATTTGATGATGTCTGGGCACTTAAAAAATGTCTGAGACAAAACATGAAATTCAGAATATTTTCTTTTGTTTTGTGGGGGATGTTAGGGGTGGCTAACTCTCATAGAAAGTTTTACAATTTAAAGATGATATTTGGTACTTTTGGGCACTTTTAAAGTGTATTAGTCAATAAAAACATTGAAAAACAATCATACTTTTTTTCAAATTTTGGGGGTGTCAAAGGGGAGGGAGGGGTGCCAGAGGGGGAGGTGGGGTTGGGGTGCCAGAGGGGGAGCAAGTGTTTGTCCCCCATATCTGTCCCCCAGAAACATTTATGATATCAAGGTGCTATTCGATGAAGTCTGGGCTCTTTAAAAGTGTCTGTGCCTATTTCCCAAGAACATTTTATCCATGAAGTGCGTCGGAACACTGGCGATTCCTATTCGGTACTATGGAATATATCTTATTATGCCTTCTAGGACGCTTATGCAAAGAAATGGTTTACATTCACTGGAAGCACGAGTTGGTACATACTTTGAACGTCTACCAGCAATTATACCATGATAACAGTTTATCTCATTAACTAACAGAAGGTCAAAAACTGCTCGGTGACATACTTTCCAGCGAGCGTTGAAAATGAGGTCACGTTTACTTATGCTTCGATTAGCAGTAATGCCCAACGCATATGGATAAACAACTAAGAAAATGTTGCAAACATATTTAGGCACCGAATGCGCCACTCTATATTCAGTCTTACCTTATGCTGTCAGAAAGTTTTGAATAATTGTCGACATCAACATCGTCTGTTGTCAAATTAGCCGCCATATTTGTCGGGATTCAGTAAAACACAACTCGGGTCACTGACTTGCTGGAACGAAATTCGGAACACAGGATATTGATCACCCGGGGTGATAGTGGTAGTCACTCAACACATTATAATGCGACTAGAATCTCCGAGCTGTTTGATTTGAAAACAATGTTTTGAGTGATGGGATCAAAATATTAAATCTGATCTATTTATTTAATTTATTGATCTTTTTTCTCCAATGTATCTACAATTTTCAGGGTTAAATGTTTACTTTTGATTCCAACAAGTTTAATAGCTGACGAGCAAAGCATTAACCTTTCTTGTCTAACTTTTTTTTAATGAGACACGGATTCAAAAATAATTTCCAACTGGAGTCAGATATAATTCGAATCTAAATGGCAGTTAGCTTACTGAGCGCCTTATAGCTAGCGCGAATTCGCGAATTCAACCGGTGTTTGAATTCGCGATTACTATCTTAGATTATATTATCAATGCCGTGATGTGTGTCCCGTCTTTATTAGTATTTGAATACGTCATGTGATCATGGGAGGTCTCATACTTGCTTGCCAGTTTGAATTGATGGAAAGCAAATGTTATTTGGATTCTTACGTTTATAGCAAATGAAAGTGCGTTTGCAAAATAGATGGCAGTAGTGTAAGAGGTAGCACCATTTGAGAGCCGATACTCTCAGTCTGTTCTACGGCTCTTTTTGTTTTCTTTTCAGATTGATGTTATAATTTTCTGCGTCGCCGTTTCTTATGTTATGTCTTATACCAGCATATTCAAATAACTCAAACAGATTATGATGTCATACATTATCTCTAAGGATTTCGTTTCTGTATTTGTAGAAATGTCCTCTTTTGACTGCTATATATCCATAAGAACCCGGGAGGAAAATAACATAAAGTAACTTCAGATCCCTACAGTCTAAGAAATGAATTATAAAGATATCAAGTAATTTTACATTAAGACGAAACCCCAACGCATTTAGAAGTGTAAAAATCGAATGCTTTCCCAATTTTTACAGAGAAATTGTATAAAATGAGTAGCAACAAGCGACATTACAGGCCTGGAATACTATTATCAATTATTGATTTATCAGCCTAGTTAAAAGTGTTAATATAAATTGCGTTCTATTGTAATCTGAAATTGCGGCTTCAATCAATTGTTAAGATATTATCTGCGTACGAACAATTCAGGTAATAAAGCTTATTGAATATAAAGAAAAAACAATGTATGGATAAACATGTTAATATTGTAATTTACTTTTATCTTCCTATTGTTACCATGTGGCATTATTTTAAATATAAGTTAAATATAATTGTTGCTTTTAATTTCCAGGTATATGTGTGAACTATAAATCAATACTGTGCAAAGAGCAACGGAGACTAAATCTCAAATAGAATTTAAAGATGAAGATATTTTAAAACGCAAAATAAGAAAAATACAGAATGGACAACGATTAAAGTAAATGGACAGATTATAAACTTTCTAAAGCGCATATGAATAACAACAAAAGAGATACTTAATTCAAAATCCATAGAGATATTGAGTGAAATAAGCGCGATAGCTGAAGGGATTTTAAGTCTGCGTAATCCGTTAGCAATGAACATTGACGATACTGCCGGGGATGCTGGGGTGACAATACAGGACTCACACTAGTATATCTATTGCTAACTGGCTATGTGGCGTATTATTGGGATTAGACTCAACTGGAAGCGGCTGCTAAGTCAATTTTCTTATTCATCTCCAATGCTTGCCGTCAGCGCACGAAACCAAAGCTCAGAAATAACAAAAGTGTGGCATTTGTTATTAGATTATGATTTACACTGAAATAATTTGCTTTTTCGTTACAAATCACAAAACTGAAGATGCGTAGAGGAAACGGACATTTGAAGTGGATCAGCTTCAGAATTTGATCTATTCGAAATGAAATTATTGAATGTGAAATCTTGAAAACACTGGGAAATGATTATTTGCTTGGACATTTGATATCAGAGAGGCTCTTCACATGGAAAAGCTTTAGCGACAACGAGGGAAAACACGAAAGAACACTCTGGGGTAATCTACTTGAGGTCTCAGCAAGCTTAGGCTACGAACTCTGACGTAACATTCCGATGAGGAGAATGATGGAAGATCGCACAGGCGCTATCTAATCAAGTTATTGATACAAATAATCATAGGATGAGCTTATTTATTGTTCGAACATGTCCGGGGTAAGGAATTCCAGCCTAAGGATAAATCACAGACTTACAGTAAGTTTATAGATAGATGGATACTCCAAAGGTGTGTTAATTGATGTGTAACAATTACATCATAGGCGTCAAAATCTCTAATGAAAAAAGTATGGATATACATCTAGGATGACAGAATATAGGATCTCGATCGTTGTATCGGAGAACTGTTGACATAAGACTAGATTGCAAAATGGCACTTCTTCTATCCTCTGAAATTCTTTAATAAAATTGATTAACGTAAATCCTCACGAGGCGTACCTATCGTGTTAATTACGATTCATACACTCTCACACGTATAAGTTCGTCTTCTTAATTAAGACCGAAGTTTCAGAAAGCCAATGATTACAACCCGGCGTTTAGATAAACGTTTCTAAATGACTTCGATCGTCGGGCATTATTTTTCAGCAGGGGCAATTTAGTAGACACGCAAGTGGCACGATTGGAACTGGAAAAATAAGTTGGTTTTGATTTTAATCAAAAGTAGAAACGACATGTTGATCTTGAAGAAGGATGGCCAGCTGTCTGTAATATCACCCCCATAGGCATACCTTACGTATACTTGCCCTTAAAGATAAGGACGCGATTAGCGGAGCTATCATTAAAGACTTGATAATATACATCGCGATATTCTTACCATGGGAGAAATCTAGATGTGTTTACATATAAGTATAAAAATAAGCCAGTTCGATTTTTAATTAGAGCCTCGTTTTTCAAGTGATATGATAATCGTACCTTACTATAAAGTAATCCTCGGGTGTGCTACAGAGTTTAATTCAGGAGGAGTGCAAGGTAAAGGAAGGAAACAAAACAATCGCGTTACTTTGAAATATGATAAATCAAGTTCAGACATTCGCCTTGAAGGCGCGATTAGATTATAAATCAGAGGTAATTCAACAGTAATAAGGATTCGTAAAAGACAAATATGAAGCTGTGTTTCGAGATCATTATTATCGTTCTCTTATCTAAATATGTTATTTCGGAAACAACAACAACCGAAGAGGATTCATCGAGTGGCGAGGGCGAAACTGAATTAACAGAAGGGCCAAGTGAAGAGGTAAAAATGGATATTGTAACAAAATTTTTGAGGATCGTTGACGAGTATGATAAAAACAAAGAAAGTTGCAAACCTGGAACGGAGTTTAGCCTTGAAGGGGGGCAAGTCGAGGAACAGTACGGAGTACGAAGATTTAAGGACCTGGCCATGATGGCGGTCAACAGGGCTAATTTTCTAACGAGAATTTGGCAAAGAGGATCAAAAGCTTTATTAGAATCCGAATTCTTCTTTTATACTCAAGTCAGATCACTAGTGGAAGAAAACCCTGATATTTTTGCCGCCGGCAACTGCTACGACTATAAGGAATTTAAGAATTATGACCTGTTCTGCCCATACGCCCATAGGTACGTCGACGAGCCGGATAAAATCGTAGTAAAGGACCTGTCCATAGGCTATTACTATGTTTCCAATGGTACGGAATACGAATGGTTCTCAAAGATCCGAGAAAAGGCCAACATGAAAGTTCAAAACGGGGATTACGAGATGAATGATGGTAAGTGTGTCTTTGATCTATCTTTTCTTTCTCTTCCAATTATAATTAATAGCTTCTCTGAGCGTAACGATGGTATATTGTTTTCAACATGCACTCGATTGTGTTAACATTTTTCAAAACTGACACAAGATGTAGACATAATTGGAGAAAACAATACAAAACTGCATTTTCTTATATTTTATTAATGCCTAAGATATGATACGCTCCGTCTCAAGTTGTTATGATATGAATATTGATCCCGTATCCGAGTTATCAATAATGCATGTTGTGTAAACGTGGATGTTACGTATTTATGTCAATTTCGATGCCTGCATAATGCCCATGTTTACAAATGTAATTGACGTGACAATCAGCATTTCACTCCACTCCAAAAGTTTAATAACAAGTTTCAGTGTTACAACTTGATGTTTTAAAGCCTATTCATGTTCGAAATAAGTCCAATATATCTTCTGTTAAGATTAAGTTGGAAATTATTAACACTAATATTTTGATAGTCAGAACAAAAAGTCATATCAACGATTTCTGACAGTTTTTTATAATCCTATTGAACAAAAGCATAATAAATCTGTTTTATTAAATAATTCAACGTGATCACTATAAGTGGTGATTTTGATGAATTATCGATTTTAATCAGTTTTTGATCAATTTCTATATTTTACAAAAGTATGTGTTAAAATGCTATTAAATGCTGCCATGATAGGCAATGCTACTATTCATTAGATAGATTATGTACACATTTCTCCTATACAGTACCTGCTTCTAAGTAAATGATTGGATCAGTTGATTGGGTTACATTATCATTGATATAAATATCACTTTTTCGGCCACACAGACTGGTTTTTGCTGGATCTGTAAACTCTCTTCCTTTTAGATTGACAGTTGTTTATCTAGTGTTTCGAAAGATAGAACCCCAGACGTTTAGCATAACATATGTATTACTTGCTTGGTGCTTGATTTCTTAATGTGTCTTACTTTTTTAAAACAGGGTTTAATTTATATATAAAATCGGAACGACCATGAAATAGAACAACTTCCAGTAAATCGTGCCATCTTTTGGTTATGACGTCATCAATTTTGGGGTAGAATTGGGATTTATGGTAGTCATGTCTGATTTTCAAAAAGGTTTCGTACATTATTGTTTACAAATATTGCAAAGAATGGCACCGTGCATCTGGCCAATAAACCTGGCCAAATCAAACTTAAGGCTAAGGTTTTAGACCTGTTTAAACATATGTGTATACGTTGGAAGCTTTTCGCGCAAACACTTATTTTGACATCGAAGTGGACACATGAACTGATTTGGGTAGTTCCTAAGCCTGAAACGTCGTCTGTGTGATTTTACATGCATGAGAAATATGACATACTAAAGTAAAAGGTTGCTTGATATGGGGATCAAACTCTCACCTCGAGTTATAATTCTAGGTAAAAAGTTCCCTACACGCTAACCAATGTACCATTGCGAATTTGACAAAATGCAGAGAAAAAACCTTTATTAAGCTATGCATGATGTAAGCAAGTCCGATCCCGTGTGTGAACCTCTCATATGAGTATCTCCCATAAGATTCAGTAACCCGTCATAATTATGCATGCTCCTTCTGTCCCCATCATATGAGAAACATGACCCATTAAAGGCCTATTTTTACTTACTATTCGAAAAGGTCATGAGGTACACGATTCAAGAAGTACGAAAATTATGCTCGTGAATGTTACTAAGGGCAATTACAATGACAATTCCCAATATTTTCATTGGCAATTTTTTCATAATAAATTGTAACATCGCATTGATTGGCATGTTCTCCGAAGCTTCCCCGAGCAATTTATTTTATATTGACATTCCATTGTAAAAATACCCGAAACCGTCACTAATCGATTGGCCACACCTTGGGAGTGTAAAAACAACGAAATAATATCAAAATCTCAAAATATAATCCGATTCAAGCACAAAAGCTTTATTCTGCCCCTTGTGGACTTAAGTCGATCTGGAGCGATTTATCTTTCGTTGTATAATGGACACGTGAAATATCTTCAATGTATATCCATAGCTATCTCGTTGATTTGGCCAGTACAAAGAGAGCCGCTGCAGTAACATTGCCATTGGCGAAACTTAGAGATTAAGATTTTCTAGAATGTAAATAGGAAGTCCCTTTTCTAAATTTTCCAATAACATCTCCCAAATGGCATAATTAATCGTTTACGTATTCAATATAGACCCGTAGGTTCCATGTCTTGAGTATTAATGTCAGATAGTAGGGGATTACTTCGTCCCAACTTGAACCGTTAAAGCAGACGACTGCAGCAGGTCATGTGCCCTCATTAAGCCAATCACATTAGACAGATTTAGTCACATGATCAGGTTTGTGCCAACGTAAGAGCTCACTCCACAATTATTGACCGCATGGAGTAGACAGAAAAATCTATATTTTAAACTTTACGAGGGTGATTTAGATAGGAAATACTACTAACTTGGCCAATTTTATCAAAGGATGCTGCGATATTGATGCGATTGATATCAGTATATAATAACTTAATTTTTCAATAAGAAATATGTTGATAAGAATCTGAACAAATTTGAGAAATAATATCCTTTAGAAAAAATTGGGCTAATTCTTCAATACTTTCATCAATCATATCAAAGTTGTTCCAATTCTGGACCCAGGTACTAATATACATTTTGACATGATTGACTATTCAGGATATAATTTGTGAATTTATTTTTGGAAATCACTACTATCCCAATTTGCTTGATTAATGCAATTTGTTATGGATCCAAAAGGAAGAGTAGATCATTATTTGATCAAGTGTTTCGTTTAGAGCTGAACAATTATCTTAAATTCTTGATTTTCATTAAAATATGAATATATGATATATCCAGGTCTGAATAAGATTTTCAGTATTGGACACAATATATAGATGCTGTTGATCTTTGACATAGGCACCATGGCGCATGTTATATAGTGCACGGCTAATTTTTAGAAAATATTGGTATTTGATTGTAGTATAAAGGTCAAACGTGTTCAGCTTAATCAAATTTGTTTTTCAATAAGTCAACAATCAATCATTGGAAATGTAGATACTAAAAAAATCATTCTATTAATGCTATTTGATAATGTGTTCTGGAATTGGAGAGTTAAAGAGACGAATAATCAACTTTCTGTGGTTATTTTTCTTTTTCTTTATGCTCTTAATTTTTAACACCATTAACTAACTACCCAATATTCAACTTTTCACAGCGCAGAATTTTAAATTTTGAGGCCGAAAATTCCACATTTTTAAGAGCTGAATGTTAAAGTCCCCGTCTAAAGTTTGAAAATATTTTTTTATCATTCATTTACTATTTGTCTGGACTTAAAAAGTGATTTTAGAGATTTTTGAACAAAAAAATTTTTTTGAAAAAAAAGTTGTGAGCATTTCTTTTCTCAAATATTCAAATATTGAAATTTCTTAATCATCAAATATTTCTTAATGCATTTCAAAAAAGATTATATTTTTAACACCAATGCAAAGATTGAACAAAAGACACACTATTTCAATAATAAAATGTCATATTTAATGGGCCACTTCAATGTTTTAGCTTATCAAAAATATTTTGAAACATTAGTGATGTCACTAAGGTAACAAAAACTTTTTGAAAAAAATTGAATTTCTTTTTCGATGTCAATCTTTTCTAAATATGCTAGACTTTCATAAAAAACCAATGTTGATTGTCTAACCAGGTTAAAGGGAAGAATAAATTATGTTTTAGATATGATTGTACCATTGGTTTCTATGAGAACTAAAGTTTTGAAATGCATTTTTCTCAGAACCATTTTCATGCACTGATAAGTTCATTTCTCGCTTGTTTATCAACCGATTTTCTTAATTTTTTCGGCAAAAAACATGGGAGGATGTATGCTATGCATTGGTATGAATTGTGGCTAATTAGAAGATATGAGTGACCTCTAAAAGTTGGTTTTAAATAAATTCACAAATTTTGGAACAAAAAGTCTATCAAAAACCACTTTTTGAAGTTAAAAAAAAAAGTTTCACATATCACACTTTGATAACATTGGGTAAGACTACAATATAAGCCAAAGTGGTTTAAACTTTACATGGGGCCTTTAAAAATTACCACGGGGAAGTTAGTTCATCATTTATTTAAATCTTGAAATGTCTCTCCAATGTTAGGCATAGGTATTTAACGCAAGCTGTAGACACTTTGTAGTTGTTACATCAACTTACAACCTGCTTTGGCATTACGTATCTGGTTCAACAATAAAGTACATGCTTTCCTTGAATAACATCGATTTTCTTGGATCATATTTTCTAAAAATGGTACAGAGACGTAACATGATAGACTGCATCCCGCCCGACGTCATCGTCACTTCTTGCTCCTACCTATTTCCTTTTGTTAGTGTAAAGATCGTTTACAACTTCCTAATTTTCCTTCAAGAGTTTTTGTATGCGATTGTGTGAAATTAAAGTCTCTTTCTCTTTTGTTAGTGTAAGCAAAGATCTGAACGATAATTTACAACTTTCTAGTTTTCCTTCAAGATTTTTAGTATGCGATTATGTGAAATATGCTTAATTACAGTCATAATATACGTATCGTCAGTTTTGGTATATTGGCAAGATGTGAAATATGGTCTAAAGTCCTTTTCTCCTTCAAGAGTTTGGGTATGCAAATATGTATGGAATGTCTTCTGTCCTATTTTGTATTATCATTTTATGTTTGGAAGGATGTGAAACAGGTTTCATATTCCTATTTTCCATTTTTAGTGTTAGTTACATTGTAATGATCCGAAAGATTCTAGATACACTCCTATTTTACATTTTCAGTTTGGGTATCCAAAATATTGCTTTCAGTCATATTGTTCTTGTCAGTTCGGGTATGCAAATATGTAAACAATTGTTTTCAGTCCTATTTTCGATTTCTAGTTTGGGTACCCCAACATGTAAAGGATTGTTTTCGGTCCTATTGTTCTTATGAGTTTGTGTATGCAAAGATGTGAAAGATTGTTTCC